ATTGTGTTTATTCATTTCTTGTTATATCTTCTTTTGTTTTATTTCTTTATTTATCATTTCTTTTATTTATATTATTTATTATTCTCATTGTGTTATTATTATATATCATTTATTATTTATTTTAAAATTACATTTATTTATTATTCTTTTTGATTATATATTCTCTTTATTTTAATTATTATTTTCAACTTCATTCTTTTATTACTTATTGTGTTTTCTTGTTTTTATCTTCTTTATTATTTTATCATTTCTTTATCATTTTATTCTATTTGATAACTTCATTTCTTCATTATTTGTATCTTGATTTATTATTATTGTTTTGTATCATTCATTTCTTGTTATTGACTTCTATTTGAAAACTAAAAAGTCATAAAAGTCAACATTATATTGATTCTATGATTTTAAATTGAGAAGATTATATCAATCATATTTCTCTTATGTTTTATCTTCTTTGAACATGATAATCATTTGTAGAACTCTCATTATTACACAACACCATGTTTTATCATTCTTTTACTTTATTACATCATAATAATTCATAATTGATAACAAAATATTTAAAATGAATGATTAAATGATATAAAATATACATGAAATATAAGAAACGATGAATCATAATAAATGATAATAAGATGTGATGAATGAATAATAAATTGATTTTATGAAATTCAATATGATAAATAAAGAAGATGTTAAATTTTAATGATTTAAATGAATGTTTCTATCATTCATTTTCATTTAATTAAATTAGATGAACAGAATGAAACATTCAAAATTATTTGTTATTGTGAATACATGAAATTATAAAAGTGAACATTGTAAATTGATTTTGAAGAAAAATGAAATGAAAGAAAGTGATAATCAACAGGATCCAAAATAAGCGAAGAAATTATGAATCTAAATAAAATGATCAATTGAAAATAGTGTATTATATTTTTTGAATATTAGATTATTCTGTTTTCTATTATTTTCTCTTAAAATTATAAAATATAAATTAAAATAAAATGTAGGTAAAATATGAATTCTATAACAATCAGTTGACATTTTGTAACTTCTTGTTGTATTGAGTATGTTGTATATTGATTTGTTGAGTATATTCATTCATAATTCTGTTCATTTTATATTATTCTTTATTTCTTTTCATTTACCATCAATTCTATTTTAATGTGAAAATATCATTATGAAATGTAATAAAGAAGAGCATTATGTTAATTCAAATTTATAATGTTAGTTATGAATAACAATGAATATATAAATATGAATATCCATTTTATTGTTATTAATGTGTAAATATGTTATATTTCATTTATCACATTGATGAGATATCATAATGATATGTTAATAGATGTTATTATTTATTTATTTAAATGATATAATTATTGATATGAAAATTAAATTATATCACATATGATTATCAATGATGAATGATGATAAAGTACAATGTAAATTATTTATATTATCATATCAAACAAGAATTAAATGATGAAATAAATAAAAAGATAATAAATAAGAAGTATCAATGAAATGATGAAATGATAATAACAAATTGAATAATTTAAACATCAACACAATAATACAGAATGAAGAGCGACTAATTAATATGTAATATAAATTAAACATTTATAAATAATAATAATGATTTTAATGTTTATCTTCAACTTTCATTCATGATAATAACTCATTAATTTTATCATTAATCATTATATTTACTTTTTTATTATTTTCTTTATTCTTTCTTTTATCATTTATCATTTTATATTTATTTCATTTCAATTTCATCAACAGATATAATCATTTAATACAGAAAACGAAGTAGAAAGATATAACTCATAATTTACAAATATGTTATTCTCATATTTAATCACAAATATTTACATCTAATAATATTTTCTACTATTTTTTACCTTTTAAACAATTAACAAGAATTAATTTGCAAC